GGTTTAGGGGTCTAGGGTTTATGGGTTTGCGGGTTTAGGGTTTAGGGGTTTAGGATTTAGGGTTTAGGGGTTTAGGGGTCTAGGGTTTATGGGTTTGGGGGTTTAGGGTTTAGGGGTTTAGGGTTTAGGGTGATATATATATATATACGCGCACATGGCAATGCCACTAAAGACGACTCCATGACTCCATGTGTTCGTGCGCGTGCGTATGTGAGAGGAAAGTGAGATGCACGTGTGCATGGATGTATGTACATGTGTATGCATCTATGTATGTACATACATTTACATCGGCATGATTATGGATGCTGGAGCCTGTGTATGTTTCTGTATATGTTCTAGAAAATATGCACGTGTATGCCATGTACATGCATGCATGTGTCTCTATGGTTTTGTACACAGATGTGTGTACGCGATTGCATGCAGAAGGCATTTTTGTATGAGGATACTGTCACTTCGCAAGGGTTCTGGCAGCTGAGGTCTGCCCGGCCTTCATGCAAATGGCCCGGAATGCGTCCCCTGCGAAAGCGAGGACCCTGGGGCCTGCGTTGAGTTTGCTAAGTTAAGTTACAACAGCAATATGGAGGCCATATCATTTACTATACATCCATGGTGCGAGACGGTCGCCTCGCAGCAGCTTATGTTGAGGAGTCATGCGGTTCATATTCACAAACTCCATTCACCTAATGCACGCGGGGAACCAAAATCATCTCGACTATAGGGTGGTCGACCGTCGGTTGATGATATAAATCCTGCATCACCCATATTAAGGAATATGCCATAAATCCCATAGTTTAGGGTCCTTAGGGTACTGTAGGATTCATATCATCAACAGTATGTGATGCCTTTTTGCATGCAGTGAGTCTTTCTGAGTAGCTACCTTAATTGAAGGGGGGTTCAAGAGCAGCTCCCAGAGGACCCAATACCCCTTAATTCAGGAATATATACCTTAAATTATAGGGGCCTTAACAGTATGATGTAAGGTATATAATCCTTAATTAGGGGGTTATTGGGTTCTCTGGGCTGAGGACTACCTCCTCTTCATGTTTGCGGCTTGCCTGGTGCTGATAGTTAGCGGTGGGCTTCATTTCCAGCTTCTGCGATGGGACTGGCAGGGCAACCGCAAGCAATTTACGGGCTTTCTTATACCCAGCCTCTATGCAACGCAATTGGTCAGCTGCTTGCAGATATTCGTCCTGCTGCAAAGCATCGATGTCTCGTGGGGTGATCCTTTCGTCCGCCTGCTGGAAGCTGTCAGCTTCCTTTCCTTGGAGCATATCGTAAGATTCTTCAATGCCGTGTCATGCGCCACGCCCCCTTCACCAGCACTGCACTTCCTGATCCAGACCATTGTACTCCCGGCATCGTTGATGCTGGGCCCCGTCGTCGTCCACATGATTCGGAACGTGCGCTTGCCGAAGTGGACGCACAGAAATTCACAGTGGCAAGTCCTTGTCCAGCCCCTCGGCTCGGAATAAAACAAAGCTTGCTATCCCTCGTTCTCGAGTCCTGTTGCGATGGAAATTGAACGCAGGTCCGTTGGAACAGTTTCAGTGCTCTTCTTCATCGTGCTTTGCAGTGCCGTGGTGCAGCCGTTCCAATGTCACGGGCATCCGAACGGCCAGTCCACAATGCGGTCCAGTATCGGAGCGGATGTCTAGAAAGGCTTTTTGACTTGTCTCCATCATGTACGGAAGCGTTCATGCACCTGTTGAACAACTTGGGGAGTGGTGTTGAGTCGTTTCATCTTTCCCTTAGCTGTCCAGTCTACACATGAATCTTCGGACCCTGGCAAGCTGCCTTCTGCCGGGAACCGACGATACTCCATGTGGGCAGTTCTTGAAATTAGGGTCCCTTTCAGGTTTTTGTTTCTTTTTTATAGGGGTGCCGTACTATAATGGGGACCTAAAAAAAAAGTGACCCTAATATAGAGAACTACCCACGTACCGCCAAGATGTGTTGTTTTGTTTATAGATTCGGGGAAGAGGGGAGTGACCTGGACCTGAAAGTAGAACCCCACTGGAGCCTGATATCTTTCAGTATGCGTGTGCAGAAGCTTGTGTCTTTATATCACATAGTTGTTCCATGTTCTGGTTTGATATATACGTCTGCCTACGTACACGTACGTGCGTCTATCAGCTACTCATGTGTGAGTTTATGATCGTACATGTGTGTATGTATGTATGTATGTACGTACGCACGTGCATATGTACTTGTGCGTCGATGTATACGTATATGACATACATACATACATACATAGATACATACATACATACCTACATACATACGTACACACATACCTACGTACGTACGTACGTACGTATGTACGTACGTGCGAAAGTACGTACGTGCATACATACATACACATACACACACATACATATACACATACAGATACATATATATATATATATACATTCGGGTACATATACATGTACATATACATACATATATATATATATGTTCATATGCACACACATTCTTTTCCATAACATCCAGGTATTGGAGTGCTCTGCAACCTGACGGGCGATCACTTGCAGCTTTGCATCATAGGCGGGCTGCTGGCTCTTCTGCCTGCAGGCTTCGTGGCTCTCTGCGCCTGGCTCCTCGGCCACAGGATGGTGGGACCGTATTACCAAGGATAGACATAGGATTCGATGTATGATGGCCCCAACTTAAGCTCCTATCAAGTGTCCATCTCTATTGGGATCCCACCAATAGAGACAGTAGCTGCTCATTAGTTTTGCTAGGGGACTACAACTGGTTTTGCACCGTCATCTGCTGTGTGCCCATATTGTGGTAGCATCCTGCGTGAGTTCCTGAGCAGGAATGTACAGAAATGCTTCAGGCGAAAGCCGAACAGATGGCTCACTCAGTGATCGAGCTGTTCCGGTAATGCGATGTGGTGTCAGGGGGGGGGGGGCAGTTCGTAGTACACGCAGCATTGGTTCGGCTGTCGCCGCCTCTGCACGTTGATTGCGACGAGGTGGTGAGTCGGAGAGGGGGGGTGGAGGAGGCCGAACAGTTGGAGGTTCGACGTTGGGAGCGGAAGTGTCAAGAGGTGGGCGACAAGCTAAGCTCAAAGGGCAAAGCACCTCCAAAGGCCCTGGATCTGCCAAAATCCAAAGCCCGTCCTGGCAGCCCGGGTTCTTGGTAGAACAGGGCCCGTTTCGTTTTGTGTTTCTGCGTCTGTGTGCGTAGATTAGAATTCATATTCAGAGGCACTGTAGTGCGGATTCAAAGTGGTCGGATCTGGCCAAGCTCCGGGAATGGGTGCTACTGTAACACAGCACCCTGTGTCCCTGGAAGCATTTGTTTAGAAACACTTAACCCGCCCACGCATGTTCCGGACAGCAAGTCTCACCGCGCACCAATGTAAGACTATTCATGAAGTGATGTGAGCCAGGGTTGATTCCTATGGGGTACTTTCTTCTTAGTGCATCGCCATCCTGAAGCAGATAGAAGGATTGGAATGAACCATGAGAACCCATAGCATACGGGCGTGAACAACTAGAATAAAGTGTCAGGAAAAACTACAGTAAAGCTATACATAGGAACCCTACGGATTAGCATGTGTTTCTACATTCCATCCACTATAGGACAGTTACCACTAAAGCTGTTGCAGGCTAATCTTGGTGGAGTACCCGAAACGGATCCGCTCCACGGACCTGGGATTCATGCGAAGCTCGGCTTCTCGGGGGATAGAACGTGCGTTCACTCTTTAGGCCTTGGGGCTCCAAGGACTACGGAGAGTTTATACACCCATCCCGAGTAGATCGAATATGATCTTTGAGAGACCTAAGCAGATTCAGAGTATGGGTAGGTTATCGGCCGACTTGGAAGGAGGATTGCCATAGCGAAGGTTTGGGAGCGGACCGTCATTTCTATCCTTTTCTGGTCCATGCAATGGTTCTCCATGAGGGGGCGTGCAGGAGTAGGCACATACCAACACAGCCAAAGGTCCCCTTCAAAGAACAGCTGTGATACCAACCCTAAGCCCTAAGCCCTCCAAGCCCAGATAGAAGACAAGCGACAGCCCTTGTTCAGAAGAACCCGCAAACAGCACTTACTTGGAGGTCCATTCAGTGCGGGCCAGAAGTATCCCGACATCTACTACAAACCAAAGCTGCCGAACGAAAGAAAGGCACCAGAAATGACTACCCCCATTTACTCCGACATCCAAGTAGGGATACCCTAAACCCTAGACCCTAAACCCTACATCCTAAACCCTAAAACCCTAAACCCTAAACCCCTAAACCCCTACACCCTAAACCCTAAACATCCCTAAACCCTAAACCCTATACATGGCAGGAATGTGCTCCTTCCTCATCTCCCGCTTCCGCCCGGGCTGCGAGAGCTTCAGCATCGTCCTTCTCGTCCGAAACCTGCTCTTCGTCATGGCACCGGTGCCTGCGTCCCCCAAACAAGCTTGGGTTTTGTGTTTCTTGTATGCTTTTGTGCTTGTTTTTTTGTATTTTTTGGTATGTTTTTGTGTAGAACGCATCTTTTTCAACGAACAGCTGACCACTTCTGCAGGGTGTATGCTCGGGTATGCTACCGGCAGCCCCAAGTAGTCTACAGATTTCAGGGGGGGCAGAGATGTGCCAAAAAAAAGCCATGGCGACCTGGCTGCGCAGGTGCTTCCGACAGCTGACTCCAGCCTTCTGCTGATTCACGTGCTGTTCCTCGGTTTGCGTGAGATCTTTTGAATGGGGTATGGTGGTGTCCACAGCTTAGGGTTTCCTAGTGTTTTCTTTTCTGGCCGTTCCTCCTGGGGTCAGCATCATCGTTGCGGCCTCCAGAGTTTTGCAAGCAACAGCGCAAGAAGCCGCAAGTATGATGTGCAAAGAGTCAAGATTTGGGCGAGCTTCACCCGGAAGACCAGAATCGCTGAGCCCGTCCCACATAAACTCTCAAGCCACCTCTTACTCTCGCCCGACTGAGCCGGGGGACAGCTTAGCTGCATCCTGGGCCGGGGCTTTCTCCTCCTCATCTCATGACGATGATTTGTCCACTTCTTACTGTGAGCCTACTTTACCTGAAACTCTAAGCCAAACCTATCTCTATATCAGCACTTCCCTTGCACTTGCGGGGTGCCAGCATGGGAGGAAGGGCTTCATACCCTACATTACATGCCCGAGCCCTCAACCTTCAAACCCCGGAGCTCCTGAGCCGGGCAGGCTCCGGGTTTGCAAATTTGGGGGGGCAGGTTGAACATTCCAGAGATGGAAACTAGCAGCTTCGCCGGGAGTTGTTTTTGGTGTGTTCCTTTCTTGCTCCAAGATGAAGGGCCCACCTAGAAAGGAGAGATACTGAGCCTTGAATCTTGCCATATGAGATGAGCCCCCAACCCCATCTGACCTACCCTTGTTGCTAGACAAGCCCTTTGAAAAGATTTTCTGACGACTGAATGGAGGGGCCATGTCCCTTTTACAAACTTGCATCGAGAAGGTCTGCCTGCTACAACAGTCAGTTACCGTGCCATAATTTCTGTGTTAACACTTTGTATGTAGGTATTAGAAGTCTCTAGAATTACTTGCCTCGGGCGGTCTAGGCATTCACCCCAGAGCAACACACCTTCGATCTGAGCATCATGCCTGGTAAAATCTGGTTCTTCAAGGCCAAATACTTGTTGTTCTGCGGCGTGGTACGTTCTTGTATTTCTATGTTTGTGTGTGCGTGCGTGTCAACGTGCATGCACACACGTCTCCATGCAGGTCCACGCATACAAACGTGTGCATACAGAAATATGCATGTACACATGCCTACATATATATGTATGTATGCTCATATTTACATGTTCTTATCCATATACAAATAGACGCATACATATATATATATATATATATACACACACATAACTACATGCATGTCTGCAAAGGCACATAGATGTACATGTGTATCTATCCTTCTGGTTTAAAGGTATGTTTCCACCCTTGGCTGCCGCCCTGAGGTTAATCCTGCATGTAGTCCTCCTGGCTTTGCTGAAGCCTTGGCGCTCTGTGAATGCCTCGTACATCGCCACTGGGGTGCTTTGGAAATGTTTTTGCAGCTACTGCGGGCCTGCATCATCCAGTAGAACCGGTAGGCACTCAACATTTTATGGAGCCCCGATTTTCCATCGCAGGATATATTGGCTTCTTCAGGGCTGCTGGTGATTGTTTTCCACGCCGGTTTGTTTGTGAGGGAGTCAAACGAAGCTGCTGCCGCGATCCTTTGTAGCTTGCTGCTCATCTGCTTGCTCGTCTGCCTGTCTGGTGTTGCATTCTCGGCACTGGCGCAGCACATGTTTACGCGCTTTGCCAAGAAGTACCAGTTCTTCCTCTGCCACCACAAGCAGGCGCGAGATTTTTCAACAGTCCCAGATAACTCCTCTTCCCGGTTACCCCTTGCAGGTCACAGGTTGCCTTGCACGACTCCTGAAGATGCAGCTCCAGCGGCGAGGATCTGAGGTCTTCTTAGACTCGGATGACCTGCTGCTTGCCGTGATTTCAGCACTAGCCTTTTCTGGTTTTCGGTGGCCTTGAACAAGGCGAAGTTTGAAAGGGCTGCTAAGCTTCGGCATACTGGGACACCAAAGCAAGACGCTTTATTGTCCGGATGTTTGAAATCGGCTTTAAACAGGCTAGTAAAGTCAATAAGAATCCAGACGTGCCAGGACAAATCTGACCCTCCTGTTGCCCATGGTTGCACAGCATGTCGACACACTCGTCGTCGTTGCGAGCGCAAACGTTGTGACTCGGAGCCCGGGCACATGATGGAGCACAGGTTGTCCGGAAACGATTTCAGAGAAGCTCCTATGTGTAGTATCTGACAGACCCAAACAATTCCGTGCCTGGATTTGATTCCAATCGTCTGCCAGGAAATGGTGTCTCGCCGAGATTGTGACAGCCTACATGCACAAGGTGCACACCGTGATCTTGGCGCTTTCCGACTATGGCCCGCCTTCGGACAAATTCATCAAGGCGCCTTACCACAGAGGGCACAGGAGAAGCGCAAGCCAAGGACAGCACACTTTGCTATCTAATGTCAAGCTGTAAGACATCATATTGTGTCACGCGGTGTTGCATTTGAGAGTTAAATAGTATCACTGTGGACCGCGTATTGTACTGTCTTCGAGCAAAACACATGACATTATTTGTTCATGTCTTGTGATAGGCAATCTTGCCACTGTCACTGTTATGTCTTATAACATACACACTACTCTGTTATGCTGTCTCATCTGTGTAAATATAAGCATATGCATATGTTTTGAGATCATGTGATATTGTTAATGCTATGTTGCAGGGAACTGTCTCGCATTGGATCATACAACATCCGGATCTTAATCGTTTGCACGGTACTGAATCACATCGTGTTTCGTCTTTGTGTATGACATGGCATGATCTAATTTGATATGACATGACATTAAGTCATTCGAGTCGTGTGGTGCTGCATTGCATAATGCCCTCTATGTTGTCTCGTGCTATGCCATCTTTTGGGTTGCTGAAACATGTTATGCTGCATTTCACCATGCTACATTGGCATTAGCTTATCTTGTGTTATGTCATGTTTTAGGCCATGTTCTAGGCCACATTACCGTCGTATTGGTAGGTCGGGTTCGCTGTGGTGTGCTACTTTGTGCAATGCACGATTACATGGTGTCATAACACCGAATAGCTGTACAGTGCAAAACAGTGGTATGATATTGCAGTATGGTCTACCATATCATACGCTGTTCCTCCTGTCTTGTAGCAGCGTGGACTAGGAGAGGATCTGTCAGGATCTGCGCAAGCAGGTCCTAAGCTCGCATAAACTGCCAGTGCGAGAACCGAGAGGCTGAAAGGCAAGAGTCTTCAGGTCTGTGGCAGTGCCGTTAGCAGCGTCCAGCATTTCAGCTGCCAAGGCGGCGCTCAAGCTGCCAAAGCCTACGTTTCATGAGCATGTAGAAATAGACTCAGATTGGCCTGTCGAAAGGACCCTCATGAGGTACTTGACGCACAGGTGTAATCTCCTCTGATCATTGCAGGCTTTTTCTGGGCACCCGTTGAAGAAAAGGGAGTGGTTTTCGGCAGACTCGTGGCTAGCAATTTTTAAACTCTGTCCCAAGTGCAGTACCGAAGGCTGAATGCAAGAAGTGTTCGTTGTTTTTGGATTGTTTGGGCTTGTCTCGCGGGAGGTGTTCGAGTCCAATGCCAACGACCTGAGCGAGCTCGCCGTCCACGGCTTTGGGGTTTCTGACATCGCTGACAGCCTGTGCCTTCGCCGAATGTAGGACTGTCGGGTTAGAGGATGTGAATACTATAGCACATTTGTGTACACTGCTAAGTAGCAGGGAGTGGGGAGTTATATTCTTCTCAAACATGTTAAAGGCGCAGGTATATGCCCGCAGGGCCAGCAGCCCAAACACTTCCCAGCAATGTCCCCCGAACTCTCTTAGAATAATAGAGCAGCACTCCCATAGGGCTTCAACCAAATCGTTGCGTTTTCGGCGTTACCCTGTTCTGGCTTCCCCGCCAAGAATACGCCCTGGACTGGCGCAGCTTTTGGTAGGTCAGGCTCGCAACTTACCCTGTCTCATAACCAATAGTATCCGCTTTAGAAGCATATCTGAACCCCTAAACCCTAAGCCTTATCGCCACCTTTGTAATTTACTTCTTTTCCCAGGCAGTCCAGCCCTGAAGCGCTTTGGCAGATTCGGGATTCCTGAAAATCGGCCCTCAAGAATAGCATGAGGTTCTAGAAGTCAGGGTTTAGGGGTTTAGGGTTCAGGAGTGGGAAAAACGCAGATATCTTGCAGTGCAGGTTTTGGGCTGGCAAAGCCACGTGCTGAGATGCCACAGCAGCTGATTTTTACTCGCGTAGAGATTGACATAGTTACAGAGATGACATACCTACATACATAGGTGTGTATATATATATGTATACATACATGTGCATACATATACATTCAGATACACATGCATGCATTTACATATGTAAACATGTATGCTTCTGTTTGCCAATGTGCGCGCGTGTTTGCACGCTTGAAATTGCATCCGTGCGTGCTCATATCATGTATGTCCACACAATGCACTGAACACGCTATCCTCATGTTGGTACCCAGAGAGCCCAATATCCCTTAATCAAGGAATATACCTTAAATCATAATATCAAGGCCCCTATAATTTAATGTANNGGGGTATTGGGCTCTCTGGGTATTACGGGATGCTGGAGCAAGTGGCCCAGGAGATGGCTGCGGACGCTGCAGACGCTGTCACTTCCGGAGCCGCATAATCTGCTCAGCAATCTTGGTGAGGCCTGGGCCTCGTTTACCCGGAGCTTCCAAAACTGCACATTCATAAAGGAATATACCGGACCTTGGTTAGAACCCCTGTATGATTTCAGGTGCATACCTAAAATTGGGGCGTGTTGGAAGTTCTGGATACAAAGCAGGCTCGAGAATGGCTTCCTCGTGGTCTTACCAGTGTTTGCCGCCGGGGGTCGGTCAGCTTTTGTGTAGGGTTTAGGGTTTA